CGGTGACATGGCAAAGTTAAGACCTGAGGCGGGATCGGATGCAGGTGACTGGCGCGGTGCGAGCCTGCGCCTCGGTGTGCCGCCACACCCCCCGTGTATGGCATTTGTTATGGGTGCGCAGCCCAATGACAGGTGCCGAACCCTGATCTGGCCCCCGTCCTGGTCCGGCGCAAATCCCGCGTGGCCCGTTTTAGGGGACAAGCCCAGGCAAGCACAGTAGCATATTTACTAGTAACCATTTCTACTACGACTAACTACAAAAGCATTAAACTCGCAGTCAAAGAACGTGACCTCTTTCCCAATACGCGTCAGTGCCCCGCCTCACAGGTTGGTGGGGCGTGCCCGTTGGCAAAGCAGGGGGGTTGACGGTTCAACCCCGTCCCGGGCACGTGTTTTCCGGCTGTGAATTCCGCAGTCACATAGTCTACTGTGTAACGCACCACGAATATGACTGGGTTGTTTGAACGGGCAGAAGCCCTTTGGCGCGGATCCGGAAGGGGAATGGTGGTGGTGATTGTGTGTCAACGAAGATGGCTGGTGTCCCCTCCCTCTCTACCGCTGACATCTTCCCCGGTTGTCGATTGCCATCCGTCACTCGTATCCTCTATCGTCAGGGCGCCTCAGCGACTCTCCCCCGCAGTTGCTGACAGCGCTACAACTGCCTACCGGTGTATAATTGACATGACGGGACCGGCATCCACTCTAGATGGATTGCTTCTACAGGTAACACCATGTCCCTTGTAGTTTTATGTCCCCCTTTTTCGATTCTATCCACTTATTTACGGTAACATAGATTTCTTGCACTCCAAACCTTTCTCGTACTACATTCATCCACGCGTGTTTGATGTGATGTTTAACAACCCTGTCCAGCGTCTACATAACCGAAAAGCCAACTCAGGTGGTCTATTACACCGCGCGTACCACACCTGAAGTTATTGAGCGCTACAACTGTACTACTAACTGTTCACAGTCACTAGGTAATGAAGACTATCCTAGGTACCCAGCAGATCATTTGATATAATGCCTTTGTCCAACTCACTGATCTCCGGTGTACCATTTCGCCCTACACGTCGGAGGGGTTCTTCATAGGGGGATTACTAACATGCAGCAAAGACTTATAAGCTCATGCGGCGGCAGAATTTAGCGCCAGCAGGAAATAACGCTCCGTCGATTTCGACTAGATCGCATCTGTAAAAGAATAATTGCCGCTATCCTCAATCCTCCTGAAGGCCTATCACAATTAGCGAACTAAAACAGAGGACCTTGCCCCGGCTTCCAAGTTCAAATAAAGGAATTTCTCCAACTGTTCGTATGGAGCACCAGTAATGGATGGCTGTTTATATAAAAGTCACAACTATGAGCTAGCCCCTTCTCTGCAACTTGCCTCCGATGAGCTCGAGCTGGATCCCCCAAGAAATTCCCGCTGCTGGAGTTTGATAGCCAGACGGATAGAGGCATCAAGGTTCGGATCCCCGGTGATATCCCAAGGGGGTGAATTACTCGAGGGGCAAACTGGCGCACTATCCTCTTCCACATCTCTCTCCTCTTCCTCAGCTCTGGCATCCGAGCTAGAGCTCGTGGGAGTAGTGGCACAGGTCGTCAGAGTTGCTGCCTCCAGAAAAGCCAGTTCCGAAAATAGATCGTCCTCGCCACTGAGAATGGAGTCAGTCGGCAGGGGTGAAGTGTTTGGATGAGCCTCCAAGAACTCGGCAATCAGGGAGAGGATTCGGTTGAGCATGAAAAAGTCCTCCGTCTCGGGAAAACGGAGATACTGAACATGCCAACCAACGGCACGAATACCTCTGTGGAGAAGTAGGAGATGGAGAAAATTGCTATTAGCAAGGAAGCGATGCGCACTAGGCAGTCTAGGAAGATCCCAAATGGCACCCCAGCGCCTGGCCGATGGTCTAAACAGACTACGGAAAGAGAAATAATTTTTTCAACAGAGCAAACAGGGATATATGCGTAATTACCTTCATGTGAAATGTAGTCGAAATCCGAATAAGCAGAAAGGCGTACATAAGGTTGTAACTTTGGTTTATTAGATAAATTTGAGGCACAGAAGGCCTTTCTCTGCGGAAGAAGTTGTTTCAAATCTGCTTCATGAAGGGAAGACTAGATACTATTCAGTTAAAGTGAATTTTTTTCTGATATTCATGCAATTTTCTACGCTGTCCAATATCACAGATCAAGGCCGCCTGTTTGTACGCTTTTTGCTGCTACAGGGCATTAGTATAAGTGAGAAAAGTGCATAACAAGTCCTGTCTGGAACCGGAAAATCTGATTTTGCGTCCACAGACATCAGGTGAGATCGGCTATGAAAAATCGCCTTGATTTAAAGAGACGAGGGACGAATTCACGTCTAAGAATTCGGGTTCGCAAACTGGTGGTATTTTTTGGTAAGACATGAAAATAGGGCTCCCCGCTCCCTGGTTATACAGATGGCCTCGTGCTAAATTGAAGGGAGATTATGGTTAGGATTACGTTTCGGCTTGGGATTAAAGTTAGGGTTAGTGTTCGAGGACAGGAATAGGTATACTTCCTGGGACTTAGCGCAAGACCACATGTATTACGTGAGGAGTTCTTATTTTCGTATCTCGCCGGATTTTTTGCTACAAGACGCAGTAGAAAAAACCTGCTCGAAAGTAATTTGTTTTACCACAGAGAGAATTACAAGCGTAAATGGATATATAAGGACTACCCGCGAAATGCTGCCCGCCATGTGACAAAGATGTCAAGACAATTTTGGTCGAGGGACGCTCACCGATGGTTTTTACGTAACTCGTCCCGTTGTGCCTTACGGGTTCTCTCTCGAGCCCAAACAGCAGCAGCACAGCGACGCAGAATATAGGCAGAATAGTATTACCGACAAAGGCAAGGGAGACTGGAATGAGCATTTCGGCTTATTGGCCGTCGTCAGCCAGTCATACCCAACCCCGAAGTGTGGAACACCCGAGGCTCGAACTCGCGACCTGTTAGTTAGAAGTCCAACGCCTCTAACCACTGAGCCACGGACTCTTTGTCTTGTCGGTTGCGATCGGGAATATACAATGGTAGGGGGGCGCTCACCGATCGTTTTTACGGGACTCACTCGTCCCGTTGTGCCTTACGGGCTCTCTCTCGAGCCTCTTTTTCTCTCTCAAGACAATTCTTGTCTGCAGGTGACTCTGAACGGATGCGGAAATTAGTAGCCGAAAGGTTAGACGCAAGCGATTAACAAGTATTTTTAAGATAAGTAAGGTCAAATTATCAATGATAGAACAGTGTCTAGAAACACACAAGGTGGACCAAGTCAGTTCACATGCAAGGATGACGATTTTATTTGTAGGACACTAAAAATTATCATTATATGACCGTCAAAAGTATTCATAGGGAACATAATTAAGAAAAGGATGACAAAATTCGGCCTTCGTATGCAAAAGGCTATGACGACACAATGCTTAGGTAGGGAACTGAGCGTTTTTTATCAGTTACGGAGTAAAATAATTACAGAGCTTTATTCTGAAAGAGAAGTCACTTCTATGATGAGGTCTTGTATTTAGACAAGCCTACAAAGTCGGCCCAGCTGATCATCTGTGGGAATAACTTCCCACGAGAACGCACTGTGTCAATTGCAACTTTCAAGAACCGTCGAAGCCAGATGAATTGGATGACCATCGGATTCGATGAAAGGCCAATCTGGTGACCAACGACGGGCATAATCAACGGCAGGGTAATCATCGACATCGTGAAGGATGCCTTCGGTTAGAACGGCATCCAAAGACGGCAAACTGACGCTACAATCTTGTAGGATAAGGCTCCTGTTCATTGATCAAACGGCGCATGATTTGATAACGCCAGCAGCTGTCATATAACTTTTAGACCACAGTCGGCCTCTCCGCCTGCTGCCCTCCAAGTATCTTCATTTTGACAACGACCCCGACTTCAACCCAGTTAAAAATCATTTCGCGTTATTCAAACGAAATTGCCACAAAGCTCCCAATACAGCAGAAGTTTGGATTTGTGTTTAATACTTGCACAGACCAGTCCACCAATGAAGAAATTAGTCCTTTCTACGTCTGCTGGACTAGTTCGTGTATTAAACGCAGAAAAACAATCGACGGACAACTGGTATTCTGTACTTCTTATTACCGTTAATTACTTTTCCGGTAGGACATAGGAATAGGAACCCCTCGTATAAAAGGTGGTTTTGTACTAAATTCCAGGGAGACAAGGGTAAATTTAAAGATTAAGGTTTGGGTTAGTGCTAAAACACGGGAGAAGGTACCCTTCATCGAATTCTGCACAAGACCACCTGCATTACGTAGCGCGGTCCTTTATTCCTCTGTGTTACCATTTCTCATGATAATACACCTGTGTTCCTTGTTGTCCGTTATATTTACCCTTAAATAAGTGTCCTGAAATATATGCCTTTTTGAGTTGCTGGCTTTTTATATAAAGATATTTGTCGTCTAATAAGTAGTTATTTCTAAAAGGAACTATGCCCTTTTTAAAGAATGACAGTTTCATTGATACAATTTCGTGATACTTCACAAGGTACGTCATTTACTGTAAGTGATCGAGCCATTTGAACAGAGGATGAATCGCGGCCTATTCAACAGAGCAACGAGCTCTTTCTAATATTTGAGGAGAAGGGCGATCGCCGATCGTAGTGAAAAAAAACCATGTGAGAGGTTAGGCGACCATGGTCGCACGACTGAATGAATCGAAATTGCAATGAAAAATTGCGACTATTGGCAATTTGCTTACAAGAAAGTAGTTACACAATAAGAAAAACTAGCTGGCTAATGAAGAAGGACAGTGATACATCAAACCCTTCTTCCATGAATGGTCACTGGAGAGAGACTCTTTCCAACATGTCTTCGAAAAAATAAAAATCTGACCGACTCCCAAAATTACCAAACTTACCGTTGCTTGCTTCACCATCCGTTTTTCCTTCCAGTGGCGATGGATTTACACCGCCCAGAAATTGCATACTTTCTCCTCGAAAGGCCCCATCACAGGGCCCTTCGGTTGAGGTGCCTACCTCAAACCCGCTGCCAAAAGGCTACGTCTACGACTGTACTGGCGGTACTTTCTAGGGACACTGCGCAGGGCACTTGGCTCATCACTGAGATGCCTCTGCGATTTTTTCCGTAGGCTGGGGGAACCCAGAGCCTTACACAGCTGATGCGGATAAAAAGTTGAGCACAGGGAATGCGGAACCAGACAACTGTCAACGACCTGACTAGGCGTGTTGTGAACCTTGGAGATGTCTAAACGAGCGTATGTGTGCGGATACGAGAAAATCAAAGTCGCGAGATGCAGGAACATCCAAATAACCGTAGGAAGTTTGAATTACATCGCCTGAAGGTCTGATAGGGTGTGACAGAGATGCTAAGTTGGCAAGGAAAAAGCACCTTGACAGTAACGGCCATTTCAGTGTCCCTAATCTCTGTCAGTACCGGTCTCCGATAATGGGCTGCTCATCGCTATGTGACGGTCTGAATGGGCTCTGGGTCGTAATTCAAAGACAATTGTCGACTTCTGTCCTGGAGTCACGATAAGCTGATGAACTTCAGTGTAAAGTGAATACATGTTACTGACTTCAGTCGACTGGGGGTGAGATCGGAACCTCGGGTGGATAGAGCGTTAAACTCAAATTATCAGTGACTCTCTAGGTGCGCGTTCAAGCCTCGTGTGTGTGCCAGTTGCTAGGCTCGGTGCATGATAAGCTGCTGACAGTAAATAAGCGAGAAATGTTCACCACAGCATCCTTTACCCCTGTTCACAGCAATTCGCAAAGAAAATAAGACTTCGTCAAATCCAACAGGTTTGTTTACCCCTCATAGCTGAGAGTCTCAAGTACTAGCGAATTTCCGTCCCCGAATATTTAATGTTCTCGTGTTCAAGGTCTTTTGTTTGACGGAGAGCGGTCCGAAGTGATATCGTATATAAGGGTTGGAAGAATAGGAGTCGATAAGGGAAAATAAGGGCTCAGAGTGTATGATGGTGCAGTGTTACGCTTGTTTCAGGTAGAAACCAACGCCAACTTCACGCGTGATTTTCCAGTCCGCGTAAACCGGGTAAGGCCCGATGTGACCAAAAGTGTTATTGGCAGAAAAAAAGTTTTTCTCTAAAACTCCGATTTAGAAATATGTGTAGTTTTCAAGAGCAATAAATAGGCAGTCTTTTCGTTTTAACACACCGACAAGTTCTCGCCATGTAAAAATGTGCCAGGAGCAACTGCAACAAGGCCCACAAGCAGGTGACCATTGCAAGTTCTGGGCATATGACGGGATGCATTCTCTGTGATCTAGTTTCTGTTAATGTGCCATTTAAAAACGGTGCAGGCATGGCACCAGCCACTTGAGAACTATTTTTTATATTTACATGGTCATTCTTTGGTGCATTTATAATTGTAGAACAGAGTCCAAGAATAATAGAAGTGAACGAAAAAGGAGTCCTCAGTTGAAGCAGAAACAGTGTCAGCATCTGTCAAGAAGGTGCACGGGTGAGCGAAATGCTTCAATTTTTCCCACGAATTCACTTTGGACAAGGGTGATGGACATGGCAATTCATCAAGCAAATACCCTAACAACGGAATTTCTAAGGAGGTAACTTATTGGAGGATGTTCATTTGATTAAGATAATTTTCACCTCAGGGCTTCACTGTGCAGCTCCACCGACTTTAGTTACTAGGTTTCATGTTTGGGCGAGATTATAGACATGACTCGAGCAGTCGTCTGCAGGAGATAAAAATGTTCAGAAACTCGCCATTTACAGTATTTGGTCTATCTTATGAAATATTGGCGGAAATTCTGGAATTTATTTTCGATTACTTAGGTGGCGTTGCGATAGTGACCACCGTGCAGCACTGCCCAAAAATGTTTCGGTCAAACCAGGATACCGGCTCTTGAATGTGCCTCCTGTCGACCGCTTACAGAAACCACGCTCGGTGGAAAAATAGCTACTTAAGTAGTACGACGTTTTCCATCGAATTTCGAGCTTCCTTTTGATGTAAGTATATTTGTAGAAAACGTGCATAGGAATATTCTTTCTTGATAGCAAATTACGCCTTCTTTAAATGTTATACTCGAATAAAGGCTTCTTTCAGTTTTCAAAAAGTTTGCAATTATGAGGTCTTTTAAGACCGTGAAATGTCCATTCATACAGCATCGCATCTGTCTGTTTAGTAATGCTGTTTGGAGGTAGGCGGGATGGGTCACATCCGTTGCAAAATTTTATGCGTCCTTTATGACGTCTTCTTAATATATTAGGGGCGCATATTATTTTCCTCATACAGGATGTAATTTGGAAATCTTGAGCGCAAGTGCGACCGCTGGTCCGGCTCAAAATTATTAGGGGATTGGAAGCATTTTGAAACGGAAAAATACCCTTCCTTCAATAATAAGATTCTAGGAAGACGTAATTTGCTATCAAATGAGCACTAGAAAGTACATTTTGTGCATGTTTTCCATAAGACACGTTTGAATTGATAACGGTATCGGAATTTGATTGGGAAAGTCATGTTGCCTCAGTGGTCATTTTTTACAGAGTGCGGTCTTTTGCATGCGGCTGGAAAGAGGCGCAAAGGTCGACATCATGGCGTGACTAGAATATCTCGGAATTATGATGCCCGATGATCAATATTACAACATCACCCAAGTAATCCCTTCTAATCGAAATTAAACTTTAGAATTCCGGTTAACATTTCAAACACTGAAATGTTAATCGAAATTCTGAAATGCGTTGTCGTTTCGAAAAAATTACTTAAGTAGGGTTTTAAAAGCAATCATCATGCAGTATGATTCTATAATAATGCAGTTACCTCAGGATGCCGGCTTTCGAACGAACATCTCTTTGACTGCATGAAAAAGCCACGCTCCATAAAAATGACTACTTAAGTAGCATGGATTTTCCTTATTGATTTCCGATGCCCTTAGTAATTCAATTATATTTCATGGAAAAAATGCAGAAAAATGTTTATCCTTTTTGCTAATTCGGTAGAAAATCAAGTCTTTTTGCAATTTTACACTCGACGGAAGGGTATACTTCGGTTTTAAAGATTTTCCAACTCCCGAATAATTTTGAACCCGACCTGCGTTACACTTGCATTGAGGGTTTCCAAACTACAAAACATATATTCATTGTGTACGGAAAACCATACATTTCTCTACGGTAATAAGAGGAAACCATATGGGGTTCATAAAATTCAGCAATGGATTTAAGCCATATTTTAGACTTTACAAGCAACGTCAGTAAATGCGGAGAAAAGATTTTTTTATGAACGGGCATTTCGCGACGTAAAAAATCTCATAATTGGAAACTTTCTTAAAACCGAAGTTTACCCTTCGCTCGAGCATAAAATTGAGAGAAGAGGTAATTTTCTGCCAACTACGCAGAAGAATGAATATTGTTATGCATGCTTTCCATGAAATATAATTGAAGTTTTAAGGGCATCGGAAGTGGGTGAGAAAAATGCATGCTATTTAAGTAGCCATTTTTTTTACATAGTGTGGCTTTTGCATGTGGCCGGAAAGATGTTTGTTCGAAAGCTGGCATCCCGAGGTATCTGAATTATTATAGACTTATACTACACGATGATGACTTTTTAAACCCCACTTAAGTAATCTTTTAGAAAGGAAGACACATTTCGGAATCTCGGCTAGCATTTCAAGAGTAGCACACCTACTGTACAGCATGCACTTGTACAAATATGAAATTTACACATTTGAAACTAATTTTCGAACTCTGAATATTTCGGCCTATCTTGTGAAGATTGCTATTTCTACCCAACTTAATATTACTTGTATTAAATTTTTTTCGTTTTAAGTTAACTGAAGGTCGTTCATTACTAATTGGAAATTTTAAATGCTGCACATTTGGGCCGGCGTCCGATGGATTTAAGATTTTTCGTAAGTGTAGGCACATTTCATGTTACGTTAACTGCTTTATTGGAGGTTGTTACCTGACCATTGGCAAATTCATCGCAAGTCTTTGTGATAGATATTCATTCTCTTGAGCAATCGAGTCTCATGCCCAAGTGGGCTTGCAAATATGACCCAAATAGTAATAGACAGGAAGAGGATCGTCTGAGAATACATAACACACACAGAAGATGTACAACGGCTGTCTTATATGAAAAGATTTGACAGGCAAAATCTACAGAAACCATTTTTTTCGAGCAAAAATGAAAAGCCCCGACTTCCACTACTCGGTATCAGTCTGAAAAACCAGAAGTTGACCGGCCACCATATAGTATATTGAAGTAATTCTCAGCGGAGTATCTAAAATAGATTATGCAAACGGTTTTTCTCGACGTTATGCTACACTTTCTTATTGATCTAGCTGTTTGCATGAACATGTGTTAGGTACCACTACAAACTATATTTACTCATTTGACGCCAATTTTCGAGCTTTCAGAATTTCCAATTTTATAAAGAACATCGTTATTTCTAGCCAGCGTAAAAATGCCTTCAAAATCTACTAGGCACTTTTGTGGATTCAGGCAAGTTTCATCAGTTCCGTCGCCTATTGTATGGGTAAACGGTCCGAATGTATTCATGGACGATGTAGTCGATCTCCTCCTCCGCTCTGTGTGTAGTGACAAACCAGATATACTACACTCCCTCCCTCCACGGGCAAGATAGGACACTGAAGGATCAATGGTTCCTTCAAAATAGTGAGAGATAGGGTTTAGACAAGTTTTAAGTCGATCACGCCTTCGCCACTTCCAGTGCGGGTGAGGATTTTAGGGCTTCGAATAATTTGGTCAAAAAATACAACCGTCTTCCTCAGATTGCTTGAATAGTCCCCTTGATGTTGTCACGAGTGTAAACTGTCTCGTTTGAGGCAGAGACGGTCGAATTTCACTTAAAAGTATCGAAGAGTAGTGACCTGATTAATAAATGACTTATCTCTTGTACAACATGGAGACAAAGGATGGAACAGTGATTTACTCAACATAAAGCTTCCATCTGCGTATGCCACGATATGGCTGGTGCACCTCTCATAATAGAGACAGGCTTCACACACACATTCACCGACGTTGAAGACACCTCGGTCAACATTTATCTGGTTTTGTTCGCCAGCCCAAGTATTTACGCTGGTGGGCTCGCTTCCATGGGCGTCGAATTGCAAGACAAATATATCATCGCTAGGCTGAGAAGTCACAACCTCTACGATGTCGTGCCACACTCGGCAATGGAGTCCGATTGTCAAAAGACATCTCCTTCTCACCCCTCCTCTTTTGAATAGCCTGACGGTAAAATTGTTAAACTCGTGTTCCGGCTAATTTTCCTGCTGTGTCACATCTCACTTGCCCTCTAACAGTTTAAGCCGTGTAATTAACAATCGCGCCTAACCGTGGGACGGAAATCGGGAGTTCCACTTTGTACTGGACTCTCCGTCTAGTGCCCTCACACGCGGTCGCACCGCGAAGAGCAGTCAGTGGAGGGACAGTGACACTGGAAAGCCTTTTCTGGGGCGTTTTTCGTCACCAACTAACCATACTCTAGCCTCTGGTTGGGAAGTCCAGAGACCTGAACTTGAGTCCAAGTAGTTGTTTACCTGTACCGGTTAAACCAGCACTACGAGTTCAAGGCACCCTAGGCGTGGCAAAGTATTGCTGATAGCTGTTTGTAGGTGGAGACGTGCCGGGCGACAGAATAAGAGGTGGATCTGAGCGGAGCCGGAAATCCAGAGGAATAATTCTGACGTCCACTTTGAAAAAATAATAAAAAATGGCGTGAGAGATGGTGCGTGCAGTAGAACGTACCGAGCCATGTAGTAGGTTTTTATGTCATACTGGAGACGAGTCAAGCCCTGAGGTGGAGGATAATAGGTGAATTTGCGCCAAACGTTGGGTGAACAAAAAGCGTTCAGCCACCGCTTGCACGTCAGGGCCGCCATGGCTCGATCTCGCCATCCCAGATGGGCGAAAATGCGCTCGAGGACAATCAACGGCAGAAACGCCCAATTGTGGTAAACGTGCCATTCTGTACGGCGGAAGCAGAGAGGGTTTAAAAAAGGCAATTATGCAAGTAGGGGGAAATTATGCATCTCAACAGGGGCGGCAAATAGCACATCACAGAACTTAAATTATTTATAGTTCTGGAACATGGAGGAAGGCTGTAAAATCTTGCTGATTAAAAAAAGAGTCGGATCGTTCAACATGAAATGAAGTATTTCTAGTTGAGAATTCAAACGCATACATCTCACACCATGGTTAATACCCCAGATAATGGTTCATTCCGATTTGGCGACATCAAGTTCCGTAGGTTTTGTAGAGTTAACAACCACATCGCGCGTGAACACTGACAAATGAGATCTGATTTCTCAGTAATTCTAAGTTTCATTGGCATGGAACCAAGGATAGCGTATTGTTGAAACAAGGGTGGGTTTCAGAAGGTAGCTGAGAAGGTGGCCTTACCGCCAGAACAGGCTTTTCATTCACTGAGAGTTCGAGTGTGAATCCGAGACGCCGGACCAAAAACATTCTTGGTACAGCGACCGCGGCACATCATATAAAAGGCTTACTGACTGAATATGGTTAACACGCGCAGCTATTACCTTTATATGATCTAATGAGAGCATCATGGACAATATACGCAATAGTTGGGGCACACGAAAGCCACGAGGAAGTGGTGTCCACCAATTTGGACTGGTTAGTGGACGGAGCATGGGCATTCCGTTTTTATTTAGAGCTCCGGTCTACGGCTTTGCGGACTAAATCGTAGTCAGAGGACATGCGACGAGGATAGTCCCTTCTAGTTTATTTGTCGTCGTGAGGAAGAGATATATCGACCAGAATTCAAGATGACGCGGGATTCGAATTTGGACTAGAAAGTATGACGTCCAGCACACCAACCCTAGGTCATGAGCTCACATTTAGCCAGTTGCAATAGGAAATATTCGGCCAGTTAGGAGAGGAGTTCGCTGGACTAGCAAAGGTAGGAGACCGAAGCCCTAAGGCGAAATGGACGGGCGTATTTCGTTCTGCAATTGAGCCAGCCTGGTGACCGCTGCTTACATGTGTCCAAAGTTGACTGGGTGTGAGAGCATGGTGCACCTGAAAAAGCGTCTGGATCAATGGGCACCTCAACTCGGGTCGAAATCGCAGGTCCTTCAAGTCTGAGATTGGTGTATGGACGAATGACAACGGAAGATAGTTCAGTAATGACTATTACAAACACCTTTATTTCTACTAGTCGCACAAAAGCGACTTTCTATAAAGCAGACACTTATGGAAATTGGTAGTAATAGTTGGACTTAACCGGCTCAAAATAATGGACTGAAGGTGTTTTTTGAGTTTGGCAGTCGAACCATCACATTACAATATGTCTGATCACTCTACTCTTCCCAAGGTGCGGTCATCGGCGCAGGCGTGTTTTGGAGAAGCCCAAGACAGGTTGTGCTCGAGTGTCGTACCAATGTAGGGCGTGGGTTGTACTGTTCCTTGATGCCGTGGATGTTAAGACGACTGGACCGGCGTTGATGTTGACTGATGTTTCAAGTGACATCATGGAAAATGTGTGTTTGATATCGGTGTATGCGTAGGAAGAAAAATTCTCATACGTGAGTCTTAACACGCACAGTAGATGACTTACCACATGAAACGCTAATTTAAATTCTGGAATATGATTTTTGCTAGAAAGGATACCTGAGGTGGAGTTGTAACCTTGGATACCGTGCAACATGATCCCAAGATGTTTCAGTCATACCAGGATGATGGCTTTTGAACACATACCTTCCCGATTGCCTGCAAAACCCACACCAAAATGACTACATCTGTACTGATTTTGTGATGGCCTTATGAATCCAACCGTATTTTACAGAACGCATGCACAAAATATCCCTCCTTGTACCTGTCCTTTTCAATTTTCTCACGATAAGGGGCGGAATCTCGAGGGAAAAGGCATATACTAATGATACTTTTTAAGACCATGACATGTCTGCCAAAACGGCATTGTATATATTCGTCTTGTGAAGTACACAACGTGGTCCTACTCCATTACAAAATCTTATGAGAATGACCTTAACGGCATAAAGGAATATATAGTCTTTCTTAAATGGGAACCCTAAACGAAGGTCGGGTTCAAAATAATTCTGGAATTGAAAAGTTTAAAAATGACAAACTACTTCAAGTAAAAAAAACAGGAACACACAATTTTCCAAAGAATGCGCACAGGAAGGGGTGTTTTTGTGTATGTTTTCTATAGAGTAGGTCAAGATTTAGAACGCCATTAAAAGTCGACAGAGAATTGCATGCCAGTTGGGTAGAAATTTTTGCGAATGTGATTTCTGCCAAAGGCGGAGACGACGCGCATCCAAAAGCCGGCATCGCCGCAAGACTGAAATACGTTGGATGAATGTCGCATGATAATCAACATTACCACCTCACCTAGGTGGACCTTCCTAACAAAAATCACATTTCGGAATTCCAAGCAATGTCTCGTGAGATACGCCACCTACCGTACTGGCTATGGCCCAGGGTGCATGAGGCAAAGTTTCAGGACGTCCGAGCTTGTTTTTGGTCTACTTTTATGACTTATGTCTGTCGTGTCAACTTGGTGGTCTCAAAAACGGGCTCCGGTCATGCTCTAATCAGACTGCACAGTCCAATTGTCTCATAACTACTGTCATACATGGGGCGTGTTGGGGCACGCCGAAACGCAGGCCTTTATGCGACGTCAGCTATTACGTTCAAACCCAGCAGCAGATGGCTGACAGGCCCGGACAGACAACTGGTGTGTGAGGAAGGAAATAGTGAGGTCGGCACTAGGTAATCCATCCTCAAGTAACATCAGCGCATTCCTCACTACAATTGACCTGACGCGCTTGAATCAGTCTTGATGAGCTAATTGTCGTGGCTTGGAAGTTCGGCAATCGATGGGATAACTCAGTTCTTCTTAGGACTGAGATAAGGCTAAAAGGCTCCCCCTTAAGGTGACCTCTATAGCACTCTCACTGATGTGAGAGCCGAGCCGTCCTCATGAAAGTGTGGCGCACAGTCGACGTCGTTCGCAACGTTCGAACTGTTATTGGCCAATTTACGCAGACGGCACCACAGCCCACCCAGTGTAATCCCTATCTAACTAAATATCTTGTGCGCACAAGGACAAGAGGAACTGTCCGACAAGTGATGTCAATGCCCACAAATGAATTGCCAGGTAGCAGGTGCTTTAGTTAACATAATTCAACGATGAGCCATGAAAGCCAGTTCGCCTGGATGAACAAACTCAGGTTGAAATATCGAGCTAGCCTTTGCCGTAGTAAAGGTGTCATATAAAATCGTTAGAAGTGGAGCAACCTAGTAAACTAGGATTAAACTGATTACCGTACTTGGAATAAAATCAACTACACGCTTATTCGTGCTTTACGAACAAACTGAGTACTAATATGGCAGAGAGAATGGATCTGAGAATGTTCGGGTAGGGACTTGAAGAGTGCACAATGTACTGCCAAAAGGAATAACCTGCGAAGGGTAACATCAATGACCGTCCCAACAATTGTGCCAATGCCATGGACTTTCGACAAACTATCTCCAATCGCTTCGTCATAGACACCCACGACAGCCATCCCTGGGGTGCCTTTGTCGATCCTTTGAAAATAAAAACATTCCCCCGTCAACAACTGACTACTCTGACAATCTTGCTGTAGTGGCGAGCCCCCTTGTGAAAGTGCGACGTGTTTTGTTCTAGATAGGTGCGAAAACGTAGAAGCTTGATTGAGGAAGGATGATCGCCTCCGGTGTCGCGCCCGAATAATCTGCTCGGTCACGGTAGACGAGTGAAACTAGTGCCTTTAGACTGTTACTGTTATATGTTCGAAAAATTTGACAAACGGGCAAGTTAAAAATGACATAAACGAATCCAAGAGTAGCACCCCAGTTTACCACACATGTGCTGAGCCCTATACACGCATACAAATCAGATTCAAAAGGAAATTACTGGACCTCTAGTCGAAAAGTGCTGCAATCTTGCCTTCAGTTGGCAGGGACGTCAAGTTAGTCCGTCGATCGGTAAGCCCTCGGGTCAAGACTTTGGGTGCGTTAAAATGTTTATTGTGAGGACGCCAAGCGCCCAACCCGTACCGAATTGACTTTAATTCCTCGTCTTGCCTGTTGAGGACGTGGGCGAATGCAGTGAGTGGAATGGTGTAAAGCCTTCGTCTAACGTATTTACTATGTACAATGAATTGTCCGTCATTACCAACATTGATAAATTTCATCGCATAGTTTGTATATAGACAAAAGACCATGTCTTGATCATCACTGCCGCGTACTCGCATATGACCGGATGGGTCAATGCGGTGCCAAAAAAGCTGGGAGGGCGCTGGCGGGCAAAAAGAAAGAAGATGGGTGTTGGCCGAAGCATCTTCTAGTACCCGTCTAATCGTGCCGTCACAAATGCTCCGGTGTCCGAATAAACTAACGCGGCCCAAGTCTGGATAAATTGACACAACATTCGTGACTGTTCCGTGTCTATCTACCCTTCTGCGCAGATACAAAAGGCCAAATGCTGTTGGCCTTCTCCGTAATTTTGGTAAACTGTTCAGGTCTCCAGGGCGGAGATGAACGTCGTCAGGCCTGCAGCTTTGTTTACATTTGGCTTTGCGTAGAGGTTATTACGACACAGACTTCATGTTGTGGCTCACCATAGGCCTAGATGGCTGATGGTTGCAGATGTATAATTTATTTCGATGCTCTTTGTGATGGCGCTATACGCACATGGGCATTCGTCGACAACTGCAAAATGGTTCTCATCGAGATTTACTCTGGATTCAGCGAGGTCTACTAAGAAATCGGAGGAACATTTTCTCAGCATAGCTGAGGGTAGACATCAATTCCTCAAATACGGCTGTTTGGCAGTGAGGGCGGTCGCCAGCATCCACAAAAGTTCAGAAATTGTATTAGTGTCAAATTGGAGTCCTTTATAAGGAAACTAGAAAACATTAGGCTGTCCGACTCTGTGTTTAGTGCTTTAGACCTATATCACATTTACGCCTAGGCTGGCCACGCTCCCAATTTCATTTATAAGTCTTTTTTGTGATCCGCTTCCCGTTCGCGGGATCTCTCGGTTTCTACTAAATTATTTAGCAAATTGATAACCTGCTTCCCAGTCTCGCCGTGCATTTCGTCCCGTCCTTGTCCAACCTTCACACCCATAAGGCCATCATTATTCTAATCTCAGCGACGCATTTGAGCTCCGTTCTGGTAACTGCTTTGTCTTTAACCTTGTCCTGTGCAGTTCTGAAAAGCTTAGAAGGGCCTAGTCTGATTTTAATAGTCTTGCCAAAAGACGCCCCAGTATTACGGAGTGGACAGGCTTGAAAACAAGCTAGAAGATCCAAAACATATCTTGCTGGCGATTTTGTAGCCAAGCACCATACAGACTCTTCTTTCTGTCCGTTAAAATCCTGGTCAAACGTTTGTTGTAAACCAGAGGGTGTGGTGGTACGCCAAAGTGCGGGCCCGGCCGCACCACCCGCCTGCGCTCCGTCCCGCCCTCGGTCTTCTTGGTTATACCTTGACAGTGGGCTCAGGCGGGAAGGGAGGGTAGAGTGCGGTAGATTGTGTGACGGCATACTACCACTATAAACTAATCCGCGCACAAGTTCCCGTGTCTGCTCTCATCATATAGTGGCGCACACGGTGGACACCGTCGTCATCGACGGACGAACTGCCACGCCCCTCATGTACCTAAACTCATTAATGAGTCTCATTTTTGCCCGTGTTTTACAGCTAAACCCAGTTTTCTGGGACACTTTGCTATGGTATCTCCCTCATTATTTATGCTTGAATGTAAATTGTGTTTAAGAACACCCGGTAACGCTTACGCGACCATAGATCGAGGTGCATCCCGGGCGGATAATTACGGAGGATTCAAATAAAGCAACCAGACAACCGACCATTGTTTCTAGTCTGTAGTAAGCATGAGATAATAAGTTTGAATTCCGACGGAAAACCAATCAAGGAGACTGATTTTTTAGTAGTCACACAACGATCAAGTATTTTTCAGAATGAGACCCCTTAAAATCGTTTTTATATTATTTATACAACACAAGCCTGAAGAAGATCTACAACATCTGACATAAAATGCACGAGAACACAGTCATTTACCGAGGCCCTCCATTTAGTATACTACTTTCACGGACAACTTTCATTTTATACTTGGGTTTTTTAAATTTATTTTTACAATTTTTAGTGCATGTTTGCTGAACTACCTTAATTTGTTTTAATTTGTTGTATAGAGACCGACCTTGAGTGGGCTAATCAGAAAGTGCGTCCCAAGGACCAACTGCACATGTGACTTGGGATCCCGCTGGCGAATAAGATTTGCTGTGCGCTCTCCTAATCTGTGCATGAGTTCCTTCTTGCTTCTTGTGTAGTGTAATGTGTACGGTCGGAGGATCTTACTATGTTTGGGAAATCAAGGCCTTCTCTCGCACCCTTTGAGGCTCAAGCAAGCGAAAAGTATGTTATATTCCTTCACACCAATTTACATGCAGTTAATAATCATTTCTTGTCCAATTTTCTGCACTTTTTTGTGATTATAACCCCTCTTTTCGTCAACTCAGTTAGTGCACAAGTGTCCTTAAATGATTTTGTTCTAGGCGTTGCATGTTGGGTTTCCTGATCAGACTTAAGTTAGACATCTATGTCTGAACTCATTGCTAGCAATGGACGCTTCAGTCGCCCCTCTTGACAGTTAAGTATTTGTTAAAATTGTCAATTATTAGAACAAGAAGAACTTCTTGACTGAAACTGCATTCCACCTACGGGAAGAACGAGAAGCGCTTATGCTCCTCGTCCTGAAGTGTGGCCTGTCATTCCCCAGGTTGTCTGTTCGTGGGCGACTAACTTTTCGCACCACAACCTTTTGCATCATCTGCTCATTTAGTTGCATTTGTAGGGGCATTCGCAACGTTTGGCCGTGGACACTCAGGCCGTCCTATGACTAAGGGGGAATTATGTTAAGCAATCGCAACGCAAGTATGATAAAATGTCGTAATTTCATCTACTTAATACCCAACGTCTTCGATTGCCCAATCGAGGAAGCTGTACCCGTCCTAATTCTTGTTCAGAAACCTTTTCGGACATTCATTTAGTCTCGCATAACGGATGTTGCGCACCCTCTCTGCAACTTGTGCAGACAAATTGACTTTTCAACTGATACTTATTTTAAGTCTGGTCGTCTTGTGGTATGCCAACGTCGTTTATCATATCCGCTTTAGCTCCTTGGGATAATCAATATAGCCTATTTATTGAACTTTTGGACGCTTTTGTGTGGATCGGACCCGGTCGATCGTCAATTTTAGATAAAATTGGTTTTCCATGGAACACGTGTGCTCCCATTCACTGTCGAGTTTATACGCATTTGGCAACGGTTTTTAATCATGTATCATATTTTTGTTTCCTTGTTCAGACAGCACACGCCTCAGCTGCATCCATTTCATCACTAGATTGAAATGTATAACTTACGGAAGTTCTCGCTGAGACGAAGTTAAATATATTGTGCTGTACTTCGTATTTTGAAGTGCTAAGGCGTACAGCCTTTTAATAACTTGGTGGACATTTTTTTCCTAACCGTACTTCTATTCAACATAGTTTTGACTGTGTACCTCCTGTTTTTGCTTTGCGCTCTTGCCATTCTCTATCACGCGGTTGTGAATTAACTGAAAATGGTCACTCATTTCGTACTTCCAACTAATTATTATATCTTATGCAGGACTCAATTTTATTCTTTTATTTTTTTTAGTTCTCGTTGGGTTTTGTTTGGCTACCTCTTAAACCAACTAAATTTACCTAGCACTTGAAGAGCTCTATTAGCGATAGCAGCCTGAAACTCGAATCTAATCAGGACTACATTCGAACGCTCTATTTCTTAGTTTGTACCGTTCTCTGCGTGTATAATTTCCAAAACCTAACTAGTTTTCCCAGCACTCATACTTGGCTCGTTTTGAAAGCTACCCCGACCACTATCAACCTTTTTAAATACGGAACTATGTTTGGTTGCAGTGCATAACGTTCGTTGCGTTGTTTCCGTTCTTTGTATGAGTTAACCTTGTAAACAGTCGCCATCGCGATGCTTTTGCGTTTGAGCCTAGATCTTTGTATTGTGGGGTGACTTCGCAGTACTATCTTGCCGTTCGTTTTGCAGTTGTTTGCCATATGTTCTCATCTTAGTCAAATTCGTTTAATTACCGTTACGCGCAAATAAGTACGACCCGCAGCGTGTATAGTGCATATTGGGCTTCTACTTGCTGTGAATTACCGTCCAGAATAAGTCTCACTTCTCGCCATGAGTATTTCCCATTGCGCGTAAAAAAATTCGACCGTGAACGACGCATTGACCCCTTAATTGCCGACACCTACCTACATGTACCGCCATACATGAGAGTAGTACTTCGATCCAGAAGAATGGTCCTTTCTTCCGTAGACTTCCCGCTGCCATGTAACGCGCGAATCAAAATCCCACTTACATATCTCGGTCTTTTGTATCTGAATAATTTTCACAGAGGCGCGCGCATGTGTAGAAGGCGGGATTGCTGCAACATAATCAGAGTTATAAACAAAAGCCCTATGGTATTTTCACTTTCGGCCATAGGCATGGGTCGGCAAATAATCTGGTTGGTGCACCTGCCCCAAAACTGGCAGAAGGATGTCTCTCGACAAATCTTTATGGTCGCTCTCGTGATTTGTAAGTTTGGTTCCTCCTCCGAAACGTAATCTTCAGACGGCCCTTTGCTTTTATGCCGCACTTGTTCTCCAGTTACCGCACTGACTCAATCCTCGTCACCTTTGGTAAGCAATCGTAATATAACATTCGTCCTGTTTTTAGAGCAGCCTATCCGTCTGGTGACTTGCTGCAAAACGTATGCGTTATAGCAAACCTAATTAAGTAGTCGCATATTCCGATCATAACATTAGGAGTTTTTCCTCTTTCGCTGCAAAGTAGGCTCAATTCAAAGCCGGAAGAGCTGTTGGAACATGCTTTTCACGGGCTATCGATTAAGACGACATTGCATATCTGTGTTCGTCTATAAGTCGTTGACAATCGTGGAGATCGCTGGAGTCTCTTCACACTTATGTGCGGCTCTGACCTATATGGCAGCGGTTGAGGCCTTATCGGATGAGGGATAGCAATAAAGATGAGATTTTTTCATGGTTGACGCGCTTATAAGCTTGGTGTCCAGCCATGCCTTGTGCCTTATCGCCGCATTATGCGCTACTGCCCATACGTCGGGCCTTAGACCCTGTTTATTTTACAGTCTTCTTTCGCTGGGGAGTATCCACCGCCCGTGAAAAAGTAAGGTTGTCCACAGTTTGATTTATAGGTGGGTCCCGCCCCCACGGGGTCCCTGTTTTTCCAGGATTTTGATTTGGGCATTAGGACTGATACTTTTTCTCGAAGTGTTTGGTAGGTGTTTTGCACGAAGTCAACGACGTATTTCGGCAAGAGAAGGCGAATACTGCCCGCTTAGACTTATTGTTATCGTCGACCAGTTCGAAAGGACCGGAGTCAGTTGTTTACTGACTTAACCAAAGACAACAATAAATACTGAGTTCAGTTCGATGTTAGACTAGAGATTAGAGCATGCTTTACAGACGACGCCAGATAGGTAAAAGCTTCCATCTCTGTCTCCCGCTTTCTTTCCAACCATTCAAGGCCTTTGGACTGTTGATTACTGATAGCTACACTACAAAGTTATGTTCGTACGTGATAATTCTAACCAATTTTGCAGAGTCAACCGAGGGTCCCTATTTGGTCTGAGAATTTTATATCGTCTGTTCTATCTACACGACGATGCGTTTCCAGATTGTCAGGTCTCTTGAACTCCGCAACCATTCGAAAAATGGATATGGCCAAATGACTTTTATAAAGAGGGGATCTAGGAGTTAATTTTGAGATAAACAACTGTGGTATCTAATGACAGAAGTGATACAACTACCGTACTAAAATGTTTCCGGGAAAGCTTTTTTAAACTAACGTCTACGTGCCTATGCGCCCAGTAAGATGCACTTTTTGTATCCACTGAGATCTGCGAGCCTGGGTTTACAACAGTGACACAGCAAACTGTTGGTAACATTTTCAAGATGAATAAGGAATTTGCTCTAATCAGTGTTACTTGTCCTTGGTAAGCCTAACCGGTCGTCCAAAGTTCATTTTCAGATGTGGGTTGATAGACAGCCGTTATGTGCGATTCCTGCACCTGGTGGATTCGTGGGTGAATGTGTTCATCCCTTCCCTCCGGTGCTTTCATTTAAAGTTCGGGAATCATTGCAGACGGCAAATGGAGCCTTATTGGATGGTGGCAGCACCCACCACGACTGAAGGGGAAAAAATGAGTTCCAGGTGTGTGCATAAGTGAATGAGAAGGGTATTCGAGCACCCGAACATTTTGTTTATTGTTCTGAGCTTTTAACCTCGTGCAGGAGTCCATCGTCAGAGATAGTAGCAGCAACAGAACAAACGACAGTTATAGGGCGTTCTAGAGCCCTACGCAGTCACCTCTAGTCTTGCGCCATCGGTCGATGATTGGCTTACACGCCGTATAACTGTCGCTTGTTCTGTTGCTGCTACCACGAGTTCGAAAGCTCAGAACAAAATATACTAACACCAGTTTTTGTGATCCTTTTATAAGTAATCGGCTTGTCGAATCTGCGCCCGGCCACGACTGAAGATTTTGTCGCCGAATTATCTACGACTGCGTATACGTCATATACGGGAATCTGCTTACTTCACAGTTGGTTTTTACTGGAGGTCGTTTTGTTACTCGCCCTGAGTTAAGCTAACTGAAGACCCTTCTTCCCTGGCTGTTTTTCGTCCCGATAATTTGGCCTGTTTTCAGGACGCTGCGGCGGTTATGTAACCACGAGCAACCCGTAATCGATACATTGGTTTGTTGTTGTAGATGGCATTCGATGGGGGCTAAGTGCACTTCAGATTAGGTGCTAGCACTACACCAGACAGCAACCTAACTACCGCGGCCTTCGTCGATAACACTGCACTTGTGGACATTGACCATGCAATGCTTAATCATGTATGCGATAACCACCGATGGATTATCTTCGCATGCACCTCGTCTGGGCGGACTTATACCGATCGATTCTATGACAGAGGGTGATGAGTGATTGTTTAAGAATTTTAAAAATTCTTCTCATGAAAGAAATTCGGCTAAGATCTGGATCGCGACGGCCACAACATTCAGCGTGGTGGCCGATTTTTATCACTTCCCACCTGCCATTAGCAGTGGTTCTGTGTTAATTCCTCACCTCGGCTACGCCTTCATCTGCAGGAAGCAAGCCCTTCCCACACCGCTATCACTTCCTTAACATCTCACCTCGCTAATTATCATAGTGATAATTATAATAGTAGGAAGAAGCACGTTATTTCGAGGTAAGTGTTTGGATTTTTTTGGCACAAAAGTCGCGAAAAGCAGGTAGTAGATTAAAAACATGCCATTGTTACGGGGGCAAGTCAGATCTTGTGCTATTTTCGAATTCCTTCCCCTATTGGAATTCCTGCTGGAAAAGGAATATTCTAACTCTCTTATTGTTTGTTTCTTTGTTACCTGTCTTCAGGCCGTCATAGTAATTTAATCTTGACCTTGTACTTTCGCTGCGCGCCCGTCGAAGGGACAGTTCTGGCTGGAAGACCTCAAAACTGTCACCTGGGAGCAACAACTTGTTCTTATTTTATGCAGCTTTCATCTGCCATTGATTAAGTGTTATGAGGATAATAGTGATGATGTATGCGCAAATAAGCAAAAGGTCCTTCGATGTGGCAGTTCGACTGTCGTTTCCGACGAGGTTCACTGTGTGCTCGACAACAGGGACGGTGACTTGCCTGTGAGTTAGTTTAACTTGACAGTAATCTTGCCAAGCATCTACCTCACTCTCTCCTCCGGTTGAACTCAGTGTCAAGACAGAGTCAAGAAGACCGGAGGCGGAAGGTGGCGCAGATGGCTGGCACGACGATGACCGGCAAGTTGGCATACCACCACACCTGTTTCCGTACGTACACGGACCAGGATTTTACACAAGAGGAGAGGGGGGGGGGGGTAGGGACGGCTAGGACCCTGCGAAGTGGAAGTGCTATAGAGGCCACATTAAGAAGGCGCCATTGCACCCTGACTCTCAGTTTATTAATCCGCCACTCCACATAAACACACATTGAACCGACTGGGAGGTCCGAGTTATCCCATCAGTTGGCAGCCTTCTAAGCCACGGTTTTTAGCGCATCGTGATAGATTTGGACGCTTCAGATTTCTTATAGTGAGGAGTATGCACGGGGACCACCGACCTCACTCTTACCACCTCTAGACACCAATCGACTGTCCGAGCCTCTCAACCAACTTATGCTAAGATCGAGAGAAGTATAAGTGAAGAAGAAGAGTCGAGCACCGGAACACTTCGTTTATTGTCCTGAGCTTTAAGACTCGTACAGGAGTTCATCGTCAGAGGTAGTGGCAGAAACAGGAGAAGCGCAGTTATAGGGCACATAGGCCTGTACGAGTCTGAAAGCTCAGGACAACAAACGAAGTGTTCCGGTGCTTGACTCTTCTTCTTCACCTATGCATACACCTAGAACTCGAAAATTCGCCTTCAATCGAGAGGAGTGTCTAAGAGAGCTGAGAACAGCTCGTCTGCGCACGCCTCTTGCACGACTTGGCCCCCACACGCACTCGCCGGGATTCCACACAGGAGTAGACTGTTCAGATCACACACAAAGTGGTAGACCGCTCGGGTTTCATGCGCAGCAGCGGGGCCAGATGGAGTAAGAGCCAAAAAGCACACTTTCCACTTGCATGAATTGCCGCTGGTGTGGGATGTCTGGCCATTGTGTTGATAAGAAACGTATGGTGATGTGGTTTTGTCTGTGGTGACCTACCGCGGGTTTTCTTGGATGCGCATGTAACCGGAGAGACCCACGCGGTGGCGGAGTGTGCGGAGGCAGTGCTGGCAGTTGAGGCGATGGCATCTGGCGTGCCAGCCACTGATTCGCTAGTCTCTGCGCTATGGACTCCCAACTGGCCCACCAGGTCGATGTGTGAGATGAGCTTGTGGTGACAGTGTGCGTCCTCCCTCGTCTCCGGTCTTCTTGATTTTGCCTTGACACCGGGCTCAGGTGGGGGAGGAGGAGAGAGTGCGGTAGATGCGGCGCAAGTCCACACTCACTATAAGCCAAGTCACGTGCAAGTCCCCGTGCCTGCTTCACCTGTCTGTGAAACACACGATGGACATCGTGGGCAACAACTGTCAGTTGGTGGATGTTGGTCCGGCTGTTGTTGTGGTGCTCCTAGTGGTGGGCCCGCTAGTCGATGGGGAGTTGATGGGGTTGGAAATGGGAGGGTGGATGGATGTGCAAGGCGCATTAACTGTATCAATGCTGCGGTGAACTCCGCTGTTGTGGATGCGCATGTAATCGACTAGGCCCATGCGGTGCGCGACTGTGCATAGGCAGTGTGGACGGTGAAGGCGGATGCGGCGAGTGTATGTGGGAGTTCCTGGCACTGGTGCGCCGGTCGCAGCGCGATGAATTCGAAAGTGACCGACCAGGCCGATGCCTGAGATGACTGTGTGATCACAATGGAGACAGGTTATGATCGAGTCCACATCGCTGGAGGTGGGACGGATATGATGATGGTGAGGTTTGACGGGCCGTCGAGAGCGTTTTGATCCGCGGCGGCGGAGCACGGGGATGCTGATCGTCGGTGGTGAGAACGGCCGTTGTAGTGAACGCCCTGGGGGTCGGAGAGACAGCAGTTTGGATTGTCGGGCTGATGCATTAAGTCCCGAGACGTCCGACGAGGCCGATTTACACACAGGATGTTTGTTGACAGCGCAGGCATCCTGGAAAGGTTTGGGTCAGAGGCGCCCGATACCTGCGAGCTTCCCGTTTGGCTTTGAAGAGGCAATCCGGTTGACTTCATCGGTTGCGGCTCTAGTCTTCACTGCTTCTCTTCAGGCGGGCCGGCCGGTCCAGGTTCGGGTTGATATGCAGCCGTTTCAAGGAATTCGTCGAGGTGTCCTTGTAGCGGCGGGTTAAACGTCGTCGGCGAGCACCCATGGCCACAGGTCTGTAAAATAGTTGTTTTGGTAGGCGCTGGTCGTCAACCCTCACGTGGTGGCCGCTCCATCGGCTTGAATCCTTCGATGTGCGTACATACTGTATGGCCTATTTTGAACCCATATTTGCATGAAGTGTCCAAGACGGGTAATCCCCGGCTGCACTATCAGTCGGAGTAGAGGACCGGCTGCGGGGGGGGGGCGTTTCTTCCACTCTGTGACGCACGGTTTGATTAGAAGAAGGAGGCTGTCTGTGCTGTGGCACGTCCTCGCGGCGGCTGGCTGCTGGTTCGGTCACTTTGTCTGAATCTTAAGTTTTCACAGCCTTATATTGTCTTCTTGACACAATGGGGCAAAGGGGACGGAGGGAGAGAGAAGTAAATCCAGCCATTAAATCCATAGTTCTATCCGTGACGTAGACGCCGGTTAGTCTTGTCGTCAACACCATCCAGTTCTCATCCCCAGCACATCCCTTAGGTGTCGACTGTCACGACATTTATGGGCAAGAACAGAGGTACATGAGCTGTCCCTGTTTTGGTATATTTGCCCTAATCAGCCATTGATATCATGCTGAAAATGTGCAATATCTGTGTGCTGTCACTGCCAGTTGACCGTTTGTGAATACTACGCGGTTATCTCACCGAAACAGGTGGATTCCGCCTCAGCTTTTTATGTCAACTTCCGGACTGAGCCAATAAAGCTTAAGCCCGACCGATTTGCTCCGCGTTGATTTCTGAGGATACAAATAAGCCGCAATTTCAAGACTGCAGTATCTACCAGAAAGCGCACGGGAGACGCTGGGGTACGCGCGGAGCGGCTGAAGCCCTCGCAGCTGTGTCATGCAGCGGTATAGTATCGGCGAAACATGCGTGTCTGGGCTTTTGGCTAGTACCTCTGCTGTCAGTACGGTAGGCCATGCAACGTGTGAAGACCAATTATCGTTGCAAACTCAAAGGTCTCTCTAATTCTATCCATTTTGTTTTTTTAGACTCGCCCTTTACGTCTACGAGTACCTCGTATATTCGGGTGCACAGAAGGCAGCACAAACTTTTCTGCAGGAAGTACGTCCACCACCATTAGAGTGCTTCTTTTGTTACCTTGTCCTCATTAGCTGTTCGTAGCTTCCCCTGTCGTTTATTCAGAAAGGTCACCTAAATTGGAGATGCAGAAGTAAATAAGGGTAAATTTGAGAGAGTCGGCATCTCCGATTTGGTTGGTCATGCTGTAACGTCATGGGAAAGTGTAAAAGGCCTTGTTAATTTTACGGTAAAGGCTTGCGTAGGGCGCTCTGCATCGACTTTGAAGCTGCTTTGTAATGGAATACTTTAAACATTTGTTTTTGGTAAGACACAGTCTGATTTTAAAACTTCAAAACCATACTTCATTTGCGTCTTTGGTCTCTTCATTTCAATCCCCCTTTCCCGCCGGTTTCTTTCCATTTCGTTCTCCCCTGATTTTTTTTATATTTTTTCTTTCTTGAATCTCAGTATCGTCACTCAGACTAACTACACGGAGGACTAAAACGTCTCTTTTTCAGTCCTTTTATTCTGTTCCACGACTTGCTGCCTCTCCACAACTGATGTACCGATTTTCTTGTTGACTGCAGAATTTTGTCAGAGTGGCATTCCTAATCATTGCTGGTCTTACTAGATAATGTCCAACGTCAGCAGTAGTCGCACTGTGCCTTCCTAGAGGCGAGTTTCCTACATTGTCGTGGCCACGCTCTTTAACACAACAGAGCCCACGTTTCGGCAAAATCCCTGGCTTCCAAACCCTGCCTTGACCACCGCAACTGCTATATTCCGTACAGGGAAACTTGGACTCTCTCATTGTGTTCTATGGCATGTTTGTCTATAAGCTATTTTCGTAAACAGGTGTCTAACCTAATTGATTCTTTATATCCGAAATTCTTGTAGATACAATGGGAGAAAAATATTTTGCTCACTGACCGGCCCGGTTTCCTGTTCTCTTGGTGGAGGTGGGTTCATATTTCGCCTGATTTATTGGTCTTGCCAGTGCCATTAAAATAGACCCGCCTTAAGTTAGCCGAACACACAGTGAGTGACCTATTTCATGAAGTGTTCGCCGAACTCCTGAAATGTGTTTCCGACTAGAATGGATTACTTAGGTGGGGTTGTAATATTAATTATCACGCGACTTAGTCGCATAATATTTAGGACTCGCCAGAATGTTGACTTTTAAATGCACCTCTTTTCGACCTCCTGTTAATACGACACTCGGAAAAAATGACTGTTTCACACATTGGTTTTCGACGCTCTTATGAATTCAAATGTATTTTATAGAAAAAATGCATGATAATATCCTTTCTTCTACTCATTCGGCAGCAGGTCATATCTTCTTCGCACTTTTTAAGAAAGGATATATTTGTGTTTTGAAGAGTTTCCTGATTTCCGAATAATTTTAGCTAGATCAGCCGTTGCACTATCGTTTAGCGTTTTCAGTCTGCAAGCTGTATACTTTCTGCGTGGAGAAAATCATATATTCATCCATGCCTTTGAGAAGATACCACGTAGAGTTCATAATATTCTGAGTTTATAAAATTTTGCAGTGGTTGCGGACTATGTTGTATACTTCATAAGCAGCATGAATAAACGGACAGGTACGATGCCTCATGAATGGGCTTTGCAACCTCAAAAACCACATAATTAGAAACGTTTTAAAGAACGAATGATAATTTCTCCGAGTATGAATTATGGAGAAAACGTGGTTTGCCACCAAATGAGTAAAAAAAGCGTGTTTTCTATAAACTATATCTAAATTTATAAGATCATCGAAAACCAACGTAAAAATAGTCGTTTTCTACCGGGTGTGGTTTATACAGGAGGTCGAGAAGAAGTGCATTCAAAAGCCAACATCCTGGTGAGTCCGAAATATTACGGGATAATTAATATTACAACGCCACCTAAGTATACCTTCCTAATCGAAAACGCATTTCAGAGTTCAGGCTAACATTTCATCAGTTCGGTCACTGACCGTATGTGCCCTGGCTAACCGTCTTAGTTGCCTTCGTACTCTCCGTAGATTAGTTTGGGTGCTTTTGACGTTCCTTTACATGCGTTGAGTTCTGTTGTGACCATGTGTGTCGATTTTTCGTCAGCTTTGCCAGTCCGTGGCGGTATCGGTTTTTTGCATTCTTCTGAAGTTACTCCATCCGGCGTGGACCCTTGATGCACGTGTAAGCGATGGTTGCGCCGATAAAAATCGATACTTTGCCGACTCTTCGGTCCTTCTCGCCGCCTGTTCGATTTAGTCGGACACGTGTCACGCCGTTGTCAGTGCGCCGCATCCAAGTTTATTGTGCACCCCTGGCGCCGTCGAGGCTGACCAAAATCGCCTTTAACTGAGTTAGCCAAAACGGGTCAGCCTAAGGTTCGCCTTTATTGTTATCGGGTCAGAAATTGCTCTTCAACCGCGCTGAACCTCGACAACTCCTAACGGAAGCGTTGGCAACGGCCCCACTGTCTTATTAAAACACAAATAAGTCTGGACTCCCCGTACAGTGGTTACGTGGGGTTGTTTAGTAGAGGGATGGATTTCTGTAGCCTCTTAATTCGAATGGGGGTTTCTCAGTCTGCCCCACTGACAGGCCGGTTTAAGGCCGCAGAAGTGTTCCAGATAGCGGACAACGTACTCGCTGTCGTAATGGGACTATGGCCTGCGACCTTTCTATGGGTGACCGATATTACCAAATCGATGCCCGGACATGCCTGAAGGTAGCACCGCTGCATGCTACGCGACTTCTTACTCATCAGGCCTGAGAGCCTGACTGCATTGCGGGTAGCCTTCTCTAAGCGCTTCAGCCCCACAATCTATCACTTGTTAAGGCTCTGCGTAGTCTTCACCAAGTCAAACATGGCTATTCCTGTCCCCATTATCTTATGGGAACATTTTATGTTCAGTATCATGCAAGAAAAGACTAACATTACCAACGTAAACCAGACGATTCAGGCCCTTTTGGTCGTGTTAGATCAACAACAAGTTTCGTATCGCACTTCGTCTCACAGCGGCAACTCCCGTTGGCGCTCATCGATTCTATCCCGTTTCCCATTGTTATTGCATTTTCCTTAATTTCGTACAGGTTGGTTGGCCATGATACTACTTAATAACAGCCACATCGTTAAAGCCCCAAAAGTGTGTCACGTCCTAGTGAGCATACGCTGATGACCAAAAGATGCCTCTTCCCCGCAGACGTACGGTTGAGAACATTGTTAATTTACGCTTACCTATCGCCCATTCTACAGCATCCATAGATTAATTGGGTAAACATTATTGCCGTTACTTTTTCAGTTGGACTAAGGAAACGAGAGCGCCCCTACTTAACATGAACCCAGAAAATGAAGATGATAAATCACTGTGTTTTGCTCTAAGGACTGTAGAACTAGTCATTCATCCGAGACTTGCCAACTCGATGGTCCATAACATGGGATATTTATAGTATGAACTCTCTGTGACACGCTCCGAGTAGTCTTACTAATTCGTTTCGTAACAGCTGCTTCTCCACTGCCGATGAGACGTTTGTGAGGCTGGAAAAAGCAGAAAGTGGTTCAAATTCTACAACCATGCGACCTAGACCTGCTTAGTAGGATTGTACTCCGGGGGTAAACTTGTCAAAAACGCGATTGTATGTTAACATCTGGTGTCAATGCTTCTACAGTGTCCCTGAGCAGGTCGGTTATTGCCCTGGCGGGTGAACTTTACGTCTCCACATACGATTAACCCGTCGCTGTGCGCTTTTTGTCTAGCACCTAGCCCCACAGCCAGTTTTTCTGTACTTCACCCCACGCAATGGCGCACAATATATCTGAAGCTATTTCACGCAATCGTGTCCACCCGCACTCCTCAGTCCTTGTGCGTATGCCCGATAACGCCTAGCCGCTTTTCACGATCGATCAGCCCTGGATTGGCAACTTCGTGTCTGCCAACACCCTAACTGACACTCATTGCAGAATAAGGGTATTTCAGAATATGAGGACTATGCGGGCATTGTATTTTGTCTCCGTGGGGATGTTTCGTTACTTCAGTTTTGCACTTAGAGGATAGGGATCCTTCCTGGCCGGTATTGTTTGATCCAAAAAAGTGGGTGTGTCGACTTCGGTGTTGCTGATCGACTAGTTCTAGCGACAAAAGCATTTGGGGAACGGGAATGGATATTGTGGATTTTTTGCCGTTGTTAGCCAGCCTTACCCAGCCGGAGGCCGGGAAGACCTGTGGTTCGAATCTGGAGCCAGTTGGTCCGCGCGCTTCACGTTCTAACACCCGGATTACGAACTCATGCTTTGTATGTGCAATTAAAAATATTGCGAGCCACGTCTGAGTGGGGTTCACAAGTTTGGCCCGCTTGTAGGGTGGAACAGGGACTTCCTACTATGTCTTCGAGCTTCTGTCAGAACTGCCACCGTGACCGTTTCACGGGGTCAGCATCTATAGTTACTAAGAACTACGAATGAAGGCGAAATTTCGAGTTCCAGGTGTATACATATTTGAAGAAGAAGAAGAATCGAGCACCGGAACAATTCGTTTATTATCCTGAGCTTTCAGACTCGTACAGGAGTCCATCGTCAGAGGTAGTGGCAGAAACAGGACAAGCGGCAGTTATAAGGCACGTAGACCCAATCATCGACCGACGTCGAACGACTGGAGGTGACTACGAAGGGCTCTGTACGCCGGCGCCAGATCGATAAATCGATTGACCGAGTTCTCATCCGAGGCCCAGGCTTCAATCAATTCTCGGCCTGTTTTGTTTCCGGCGTGGGCGACTATTTTGGTGGCTGCGAAGTCAAACTCGTGACCCATTTCGTAGGTGTGGGCAGCCACTTGTGACAATGCGTCGCCTCGCCGCACAGCCAGCTTATGTTCATGTATGCGCGATCCGAGCATGCGTCCAGTCTGCCCTGTGTAATTACAAGGACAATTTTGACACGGAATGCGATACACTACTCCAGATTGCTCTTCAGGTTTTAACCGGTCTTTGATCTTCATGACCCTGTTGCGCATGGTGGCTTTGGGGCGGTGTGCGATTCCAACCCCTAGCTCCGCAGCAATGCGCTCGGTCGCTTCTGAAACACCCTTGATGTATGGCAGAGCATGCCATATCGTCGGTGGCGTTGATGTTTGAGTTCTCTGGTGGCGACCGCGTAGGCAGCGACTTATGAATGCCCTCGGATAGCCATTTTGCACAAACTGGTCGCGGAGATAACGGGCCTCACGCGCTCTGTCTTCCAGTTTGCTGCAATGAGTTTGGATCCGTTTGAAGAGCGTCTTCACACAGCTTCGTTTGTGAGCCACCGGATGGTTGCTGTGAAAACTGAGAAGCTGTGTGGTGTTCGTTGCCTTCCTATAAACCGTCGTTTCAAGTTCACCGTTAAGGTTTCGTCTGACGAGCACATCCAGGAAGGGCAACTGCTGCTCCTGTTCTTCTTCTCTCGTGAATTTTATATCCGGGAAGACTGCGTTGAGCAGGCTGTGAAAATGTTGCAGCATGTCCTTCTTTACGATGGACGATGGACTCCTGTACGAGTCTGAAAGCTCAGGATAATAAACGAATTGTTCCGGTGCTCGATTCTTCTTCTTCTTACTAAGAACTGTTGTGAGCCCAAGTATGTCGTTGGATCACCCAGTAATTATGATTTCTTTGGTCTGACAGCACATCCCCTACTTGCACGACACATTTATCCCCTCTACTCCCAGACTGTATGTTACGAAAGTCGCATGTCGTCAGGTCAAAAACTTCCCATTGCGCGTAAACTTGTTTGGACTCTGAAGTTTGCTTCTCACCGCTAGCGGTCGGGTGACACATCTCAGATAAATTCACCCTTTAAGTCGACCGAATGCAAATGTTACTTGCCTATGCCGATCTACTGATGCACTTCGGGAATCTTTCCCAAATTTGCACTAGAAGCAACCTCCCTCTTGTTTGCATTATCAGCGATATCTCAATGTGCAGTACGCTATTAGGGCAACAGTAAAGGGAATCGAATGCATACTGGCTTTGACCAGTAGACTGTTCATCCTTCCCAACGTCTGCTGATAGATTGGAAGGATCATTTTTGACCAATTTGTGACTTTCAATCGGGGCTAGGCGGGAAGGCCTCGAAAGTGGGCTTCGTACCCACTTGAGCCCTGTCGGAAATATTTGAAGTCACTAAGGCGTGGTATTCACCGATCTGGCCTTTCATTCGGAGTTTCATTTCAAAACAGGAAGCTCGTGCTCGGTCATGTAATCACGCCGAATTTGTGAACGTCTTCACGTGACTGTTTATCCTCCTAGCCACGACCTCTAACATGTTATGATAAGTTCATTTGCGCGTGAATGGGATTAAGGTGAGGAAGGGCGGGGTGTTGTCATCCTCCTTCCCTCACCTCCTCCTCTTCCTTCCACACCCCTCCCCCGGGTTCGACTCGGTTGGAGTGGCGAGACTGTGAAAGTAGACTGAACATTTTATTTGGGTCGGTGGCCGACGGAGAATCTTCCCCTACCTCAGCTACAACGCTTTTGGTGGCTCTTTGATCAAAGTGAAAGGAACTGCGTAAAGTTGGCTATTTATGCCTCTAACATTGTAGTAGTCCCCGCGCATTTCTGATGCCCGAGTGGTCTTCGTTTTGGTGTCTGAGATCGGCGCCAGCAGCTTTGGAGGAAAGGTTAGAGTCAACGCGGTGGCCTCTATAAGAAAACTGGGTAAGATTTGGTTTGGTTAAAGGTTAAGGTTAAGGATTAGCGCAACTATTTCTCAACCATTCAAAGTACAACCGCGCATCCCCAGTGGCTTTTCTTTTGCATACAACTACTTGACCTCGCCGCCTGTGCGTTCCCCGGCTCCACCTATAAAAACCCCTATTACCACCGGTCCCGTATTAGAGGTGACTGGGGTTTGTTTACTTCAGGTGGGGCTACATAACCGCATCCGACCGAAAACTGTCCACAAGGGTCAGAACCTGTATCAGGAAGGAATGCTTGGGTGCTAGACCGGGGATTCAAGGTGGAACGGAAACCGTCTCTCCTGTTACACAATTAGGATACATCGATGAACACCACCCATTTGGCTTTGGCTATCCTCTGTCGCGTCGAACAGAGTGGAAGCCCGTGGCGCGATGGCAAATAGGCCAGCAGTGGTCTTTTTGATTTCCTTTGTCGACAATAATTTTTGGCTAGTCGAGCATGCACCTCTTGAAACATCTGACTTTTTTATTCTTCCTGCAGTGTCTTTTGGGACTTGTATTGCGCGGCGCCCGAACGTCGCGAGGTCTGGAAGCATTCCAACGAAGCCCGTGCTTTCTATGATTATGTAAGCAGCCTCTTATTTAAAACTGCACGTTTCCTGAGTTGTTCGTCTTTTTGTGGTGCCGCCTACAGCGCTTTCTGTGAAGCTCAACTTCACTTATGTCCCCTGATATGAATATTGCTTTCTTCTTGCTTCTGGGTCTTACAATCTGGCAGGCTGTTTACACACCTCTAGCAGTCGGACATATTTCATGAGTCCTTGTGGTGGATTGTGGCACTGGATGGCGTACCGCCAAAAATAATGGCCACGATCAAGGCCTATTATCGCCCCACCACTGCACGAGTTCTGGTCCGCAACAATCTTTCCCAACCGCTAGGTATTCGGTTGATGATATTGCCTTGTTTGCTCCAAGTTTTGGTGATCTGCAGTCCATGGTGTCGCGGGTGAACGAAGTCGCTAAATCGGTCGATTTATCCATAAATGCCGGAAAGACTAAAGTGTTTCCAAGATGCATCCTTGACCAGGAGGAGGCACACCTTGGGATTTGTGGCTGTCAACTTGCAGAAGTAGACAGCTTTAAGTACTTCGAGGCGAGGCTGCTGCCTAATGGACAGCGTAAGGACGATATTCTCTCCCAAATTGATGCTGCCCGACGGGTTTTCTCAAGCCTTCGAAAATGCCCATAGACCCGACGCGACATCTCCATCGCCACTAAGATTCGCGTGTACCGTGCATCTGTCCGGTCTGGCCTTCTCTATGGTTGTAAATCCTGGACTGTACGCGTGGAGGATGAGCAAAAACTGGAGCTATTTGTCCACCACTGCTTGAACTATCTTTCGAGTGAGATACACCGACTCCGTCTCTGATGAGACGGTCCGCACCCGCTGCGACAACATCCCAAGTATAACCCAGCCATCCAAAAAAGACGACTGAGGTGGTTTGGGTATTTTCTTCGTCGTTTTACCTCATGAGCTCATTGTTACTGCCTTAGATCCGACACCGTTACTCCAGTGGAGGCGTCAAAGAGGGGGCCAACTCAAAGCCTGACCCGAAGAAGTCCGCCAAGACATGGAGGTATTCAGTCTCCGTCGTTGGCGAAGAGGATGTATTGAACTGTCCAGATCTGCTGCCGTGGATGGTCACGCGGCGAGGGGTACGGTTCGGGGCATCATCGAGGCCGACGAGGTCAGGCATGATTAAAGCCGTACCAAGTACCGGGTAGTACCTCTAACAGTTGCCCACCCAACTGTTTGTCCGCCATACCCAGCCAGAATCACCAATACTCCGAGGCAACAGTAGTGTCTTGCGCCCGGATTAAATTGTGGTGTGGAAAGCTTGTGCAATATCGACCTTGTTCTTTTCCTATCCTCATCGTCTTTCAGTGGCAATGCATGACTGAAACAACTGACAGAATGGTATTACTGACAAAGACAAGGGAGACAGGAATGGCCATTTCTGGCTTATTAGCCGTCGTCAGCCAGTCATACTCGGCCCCGAAGTGTAGGATTCCTAGGGCTCGCACTCGTGACCTGTTAGTTAGAAGTCCAACGCCTCTAATCACTGAGCTACGGGCTTGTTGTCATGTCGGTTTCGATCGTGAATATACAATGGTGGAGGGCGCTCACCGATCGTTCTTACGGAACTCACTCGTTCCGTTGTGCCTTATTGGCTCTCTCTCGAGTCCAACCAGCGGCCGCACGGCGGTGGATGATATAGGCAGAATATTATTACATAGGAACGAGTGAGTTCTGTAAGAACAACCGATGAGCGCCCCTCTACCATTGTATATTCACGATCGAAACCGACAGGATAACGGATCAGTGGCCCAGCGGTTAGAGGTGTCTAACTTCTAACTAACAGATCACAAGTTCGAGCCCCAGGAATCCCACACTTCGGGGTTGGGTATGTCTGGCTGACGACGACTACTAAGCCAGAAATGGCCATTCCAGTCTCCCTTGTCTTTGTCGGTAATAACATTCTGCCTATATCATGTGCCGTTGTGCGGCCGCTGGTTGGGCTCGAGAGAGAGCCCGTAAGGCACAACGGAGCGAGTGAGTTCCGTAAGAACGATCGATGCTTGCCCCTCTACCACTGCAACAACTGGAGGTCGTTTTGGGGCCTGCGACTGACCAAGCACCGACCCCCACTGGCTCTCCACCCACATGCTGATCCCTCTACTCACTTTATTAATTCGGGTATCTCTCGAGTCCATTATAGGATGCCTTTCAGTCCCAAGAACCGATTTGTTCCGCCAATCGACAATTTTCCAAACCAAGACTTTTATTGATATTCACTTCATTATCGCGAGGAAGGTTTGCGCAGTTAGACCCACTCTCTTTCCATCCCCATGCTCTATACCGGCTGCACGCCCGAGTTAGGCCAACCGATGATTTCGAGCGCGTTGGATGACCTGCCGTAAAGCCGCCGTCTCTCTCTCTCTCTCTCTCTCTCTCTCTCTCATATCACACGGCAGCTCGACCGTCGTTACCGACTATGTTTTCCGTATTCTCCACGACAGGGCAAGAGCAGGGATAGTGACTTGCGCGTGAATTAGTTTATAGTAATATTGGACTTACGCAGCATCTACCGCACTCTGTCCTCCCCGCCTGCATCCGGTCTCAAAAAGACTACAGGTGGAAGAGGGCGCAGGTGGCTGGCACGTTCAACAACGTACACTGACCGTGGTTTTATATTGAGAAAGAGAGAGAACGACTCTGATCCCACTAGGTCGGAGTGCCATGGAGGCCAAATCAAGAAGGAGCCATTGCAGCCGGTCTCTCAGTCGGCCACTCCACACAAACACACACTGTACTGACTGCGAGGTCTGAGTTATTCTGCCAATTGGCAGCCTTTCACGCCGCGACCTTAAGCGCACCGTAATAGCTTCAAACGCTCTAGATTGTTTATAGTGCGGAATATGCGCTAAGAGTCGACCTCACTTTCCCTACCCTATCCCCTGCATCACACAAATCCCCGCCCGTTTGTATCTGGCACAACAGCAGTACCCATTTTTAGGCCAATAACGTTGTCTTTGATGGTCTCGGTTGTATTGCCTCAGTGCATGATATCTGTGCTGGGTAGAATCAACTGGCCAACACCTGACCAACACCTGTTTTCGAAGTTACAAGCACTTCGACCTGGCTGATGCGTGGGACGTAGATCACAAGTGGTGTACATACACCAGTATTGGCTGCTGGACCAATGCGAGGGTGCCTTCCAGTGACTGAGGTCGCGTCTCTTAGACCGATAACCATTCCAAGCCAGCGGGATCGCCTGGTTGAAGAAAGGTACGGATAGGGTCGGAGGTGTGATTAACGTGCCGCGATCAAAATTTTTATCGGAAGCTGCGTGGTGCCATTTTTGCAAGAAGTAGCTCAGGTGGCAGTTAAGCGAGCATTGTGTTATATCACTTTCTGCCATTCTACTAACGTCTCCAAATGCCATCTAAGACAACCCGTCTGAAGGTCGAGTTTGGTATAGAGGGAGGGTTTAGTTGCTTCCTTTCAGGGAACCAAACGCTCTTCTTCCCAAGTTTCCCCAAGAGATAACACATCTTGTGCACCTTCTCCCAATCAAACTCTTCTGTTTTTCTCTTGCTTCTGTGGTTGCTCAAACAGCTAATTTGTGTGTCTTGCAGCCGAATTAACTGCTTGCCGTAACCCTGCGTTGAATGAAATAAAAGTAAGGCTGGTCGCTATAGAGACTACGTATTTTTTGCATGGGTCGCATTTTTCCAAAGTGACCATTACGACCTAATAATCCCAGCTAACCAATTCTGTTACCAATGTCACTTTGGTATTGTTCAGTAGACAGTACTGCATGTCTTCTCCTGAAATTATTGCCACTCTCATTTACATGCTTTTGCAACATTTTCCCCCTCCATAGAGGATGCGTCCCCACGTTTGCGCCAAAATACAGAAACCATTTACATCAATCCGCAGGGACGTTGTCATGTAGCACAGACTGCTTACTTGATATTGCAATGTTGATTGACACGAACCGTAGTACAAAGTTACTTCATATATGGTAGGACACTGGCTTTTGACCGAACAAATCGCCTCCGTAGATTGCCCATGCAACAGTTTCTCCACTACCTTTGACTGCTAGTATAACTGCAGTCCCACTTCCGAGAAATAGTATATAAAGGCCTATTTTTGTACGTACTTTAGAAGAAATCACGGTAAGGATTAAGTATACGCGTGGAGTAAGGAAAAACTATGGAGAACTGCCCACAATATTTTTAAAAGTAAGTGTTGTTCGATAGAGTTTTTGGTCGATCCTTCGTCGGCAGAATGACATTCGCTGAGCCGCTCCGCCCCGAGGAATCGGTGCTGTTCAGTTGTCTACATTGGTCCACTGTTCTGCAACTCCCACACGTAATTCCTTAGTAATAGGGAAGCTCATTTTTAAAAAGAAAGTCCGGCCCGCAGAGCTCGAATTATTGTTAGATTAGATGCATACTTCTCCCAGTAAAGCAGGAATGTTAAGACGCTAGTGAACTTGTTACACAACAGTTAGCATTTTCTTACCCCGCGCATATACTTAATCCCCGTCGAAACACGTCTTTTTAGGATTTAGTACTTAAAGAGCGGTGGGGAGTATTTCGATTTTCAAAAAGGTTGACTATCTGCATCTTTACGTGCTCCGAAATTTTTCATGCAGACTGGAAGATATGAGTCTTACCTACTAATTGAGCGTGAAATGAAGCAAAAACGCAAATACCACTTTTGCCAACTTTTCCCGGATTGCCTCTGCCAAAAGTGCACCACGAAAGTCAAATTCCCGCAGTCTATGAACCAACTTCTGATTACATTCCAACCTGACCTAATTACTCTTTTTTACTTTATTTCCGTCGGTGTTTCATGAGTTTCAGTACATTCTGCACGTGACTCTCCCTCCCCCACTCCTCACATGCTCTAATCTGCTGATGCAAATGCATTGCTCGTCATTAACCCTTTCGGGGGCCCAAAAATATACTCCACACGAGTGGGCCTCTCGCTTTTGAACCAGCACTGCAATACCGCTATTGTTAGCGCGTAATGGGGAAGCGGTCCACCCCAGGGAATCTGCTCACTTTTTCCCTAAGCCTGTACCACCTTGCTGTTCCGTCAAACGGAAGTCGTGTTCACCGGTTTTGGCATGGCTGCAGGATGAGGCATACGGGCGACTTATTC